AGAGCTCTCATTTTATTAACAGGAGACAGAAAGGAAACGAGGAAGACAGTAAATAAGTCAATCATACGGTAGGTGAGGAGGCGATAAATACTATGCAGAAAACCTTTGGGGCAGAATAAGGCAGATGAAAGAGCTGGTGTGGTCAAGGGTGGTCTGGGTGGGAAGTTCCTCTCCCCCTCCCTCTCTCTGTCCACCTCCCTCCCTCCCTCTCCCCCTCCCTCCCTCTCAACCAAATCAGTATTTGCTTCTGTGCTAGTCGCTGTTCTGGTTGCTGGAAACAGAGTAAAACCAAATGCATACTGAGTCTGTCATTTTCCAACCTATAATCTTGTACAGAATGGCAGGTGTTGAGCACATAATCCAGAACAACATTGTCCAACAGGACTTCCTGCCAGAATGTTCTGTCTCTGAAGTGACCTGTACAGTAGCCACTAGCCACTAGCACAGGTGAGGACTGAGCACGAACTGTGGCCAAGGCTGCTGAGGAGCTGAATTTTAAATTTTACTTCACTTTAATTAATTCAAATCTAAATTTAAATAGTCACATGTGGCTAGCGGCTACCATACTGGGCAGCATAGACCTAGAGTCACAATGCCAGTCCAGCACTCTGTTAACAAGCGCTCATGGCACTCATTATATCCATTCAACTGGTGAGCTTGATTTTGGTCATGTGTCTGCACAAGGGCATGTGCCTTATGCCGGTTTCTGTGAAAGCAGAGCCTGAGACAAGGCTTGCCTGCAGGTCGCGCAGTGGAAAGGAGATCCTAGTGGAAACCAGCAAGGAGAGCTTTATCAGGTGATCTCTGCTAGTGCGGACTGGTACTTGATCCTGTGGGAACTCCTGGGGTACCTATGAAATACACCTTAGAACTGTCTAAGGGCATAAAAGGGGGAAGACTTTATCCACCAGCTTCTATCACCCTTGGTCGGGGATGGCCCCAGGACCATGGCCTTCTGGCCCTTCTGGGCTGTGACTGTGAGTGCAGAGTGGGTTCCCCCAGGTGGGCTGAGACACACTCTCAGAGAGGCACCAGGGCAGGAAACAAGGGCTGTTCAGCCCGGGCCCAAGGTTAAGGTGCCATCCATTCTCACCTGTGCAAAGCTCACCAAAGTTCTATGAATTGGTCTCAGTGGGGGGTGGGGTTGAGAGGATTCTGAAATGGGGCACAAGAGTTGTCCAATACAGTCTACCCCTTGCATCCCTCAATGCTGCTTGTGTCTTTGATGAGGTCTAATCTGCCACAGAGTTCCCTTCAAGTTGGTGGCGGGCAGCAAGCTTTACACATTTTTAAAGGAAGATTATTAGTGGGGCAAGGTACGGCCTCCACTACTGCAGCTAGTCTGAGGCTGGGATTGCTACCCATCCCCTCTGTCCTCCACCACAGATTCCACATAAGCATCTCAACTGGTCTAGTGTGCCTGGCTGGGAAGGGGACCTAGCCCTTTTCTCTGAGGGACCCAGGCCCTTGGTGGCACCTCCTTGCTGGCTGCAGTCACTGCTATTGCCTACTCATCTTGGAAGCAACAATAGGCACCCAGTGAATCCTCCAGTTCTGAGAAGTACTCTTCCCATCCCCAAACCTTGGTCTTCCTGAAGATCAGCGTCCGTTACCCTGTCAGTAGGATGATAGTTTTTTTGCCTGTTGGTATACTAGCACGAGGGAACTGACGAGCTAGCAAAGGGAACAATCATCAGAGGCCTCAAGATCAGTGGAATTCTTAGTTTGTTCCCTGGCAGAAGAACCCCCCTCTGTGGGAACCAAGACCTCGAATCCAGCAAAACCTACAGTTGTGAGGATGGCAGTAGAGTCAGTCTTACTTTTTGGGCCTGTGTATGCCCCCTGGTTTCTGGACTAGTGCATTCTTAATATTGGGGACATAGTACCATGTCTGAGTTTATCTCCTACCTTCTGTTCACCAGATTTTTAAGGGATGAGCAGTGGATGTCTGAATAGAATGTAAGTGCCATGAAAACAGAATTCTTGTCTGCATTGGCCATTGCTTTATCTTCAGCACCTACAACGGAGTCAGATTCAAAGTTGGAACTCAATAAATATTAGCAGAATAAATAAATAATTTCAAGTCGATTTCAACATCAGTAAAATGTAGTGTAAAGCAAACATTTTCAAAAAAAGCATGGGATCAGAATTAAAGTGTGTGGATCAATAACCAAAATAGAAAACCTAGGAAGAAATGAAGGTGTGGGTTGCAAGTGTCCCTCTTTAGGTGTACATTTTTTAAGAAATCATTCATGGAGAAATTGGCAACCATTCTGAAAAATGACATGACATTAAATCTATATCTCTCTTTTTGCACTAAAATAAACTTGAGATGGATTAAGAATCTTAAGGTAAAAAAAAAAAGAAACCATAAATACACTGGAAGAAAATATAATTACTTACATAATTTTCAGGTAGATAAAAATCTTCCTAAGCAATGACACCCACATCAGGGTCTATAAAGGAAATAATGGAGATGTTTTTCTATCTAAAAAAATAAAATTCCACATGGGGAAAAAAAAAACAGTATAAGTAGAGCTGAAAGGGAAATAACAAACTGGGGAAAAAACATACCAGACAAAAGAGTTCTAACTCAATATACAAAAATCCCCTTGCAAATCAACAAAATATTTGCAGAGCATATGGGGAAGAAACTTACAGAAGGGAAAGGACAGATTTCCACTATATCTACGAAGGTTCAATTATTCAATCCAATATAAATTTTTCAGCTATTAGATTGGAAAAGCTTATAAAAAGATTAAAGAAAGTACTTACAAAAGATTATAAGTACTAGTGATGGTTCAGGGAATGAACATTCTTGTGTGTTGCTGGTGAGACAGCAAATAGGGAAAGAGCCCTGGAGGCAAAGTGAGCAATATTCATTCATCAAACAAATGTCTGTGGAGTGCCTCTGTGTGCCAGGCATGTGGTAACAACATACTCCTTGTCCTTGATCTTCAGTGGAGTGTGGGAGCAGGACGTGAATGAAGAAAATACAAACATGTTTGTAATTGCTGCAGTTGTAGAAAGTACTTGTATATGTTTAACAAGGGGTCCTAACCTGCTGGTCGGAATGCTTAGGAAAACTTCCCTAAGAGGATGATTCCGAAGCCAAGTCAAGCACAGTAAGAAAGAGTTAGTAAGGAAAACTGGCCTGGGCAGAGGGAACAGCAATGTGAGCCTTCTGATGGACTCTGGGCCTGCCCCTGTCTTCCCACACCCATGATTCCTGGCATGCTTGGGCCCCTGCAGAGCTTCCCTGACTCAGCTCTTGATTCCAGAGCTGCCACAATGTATTATCTCCAATAGCCAGTTTTCAACCCAAAATTACTAGACCATCAAAGAAACAGGAAAGTGTGCCTCACAGAAGAAGTCAATAGATATGAATGGAGTGGGCCCAGGTTTCAGAAGCAGCAGTCACATGCTTCAAAGCAGCTACTGTAAGAATGAAAGAAGACTGAGAAGAAAATCTGCCCAAGGAATTAAATGAAAATATGGTATCAGTGAGCAAACAGATAGGGAAATCTCCACAGACCAATGGAAATTATTAATGGAAATTCTAGCATTGAAAAGGACAATAATTAAAAATTTTAAAATTTACTAGATGGGCTCCAACTCTGGGGATGGCAGAAGAAAGGATCAGTAAATCTGAAGATGAATCAGATGAAAGTATTTGACTCAGAGAAAAAAGAGAACTAAGATTCGAGAAAAGAGAACTTCAGATGCCTGGGAGACAGTACTGAGTGGTCTAAATTCATGTTATTGGAGTCCCAGAAAGAGAGGGAGATACTGGGGCAGACAAAATTTTGAGGAAATAATCATTGGAAACTTCTCAATATTAATAGAAAATATTAACTTACAAATCCAAGAAGCTCAACAGACCCCAAACAGAGTAAATCAAGTAAAATCACTTCTAGGTAAAGCATAGTCAAACCTCTTGAGGCCAGAGGAAAGCAACCATCTTGAGAAGTTTGGAGAAAAATAAAATGAATTGCTCTGTGAGGGGGAACTGTGATGCAATTAAATCTGGCTTCTCATCAAGAAACAAGGAGGACAAATCTGGAGGTCGCCTCATTCACACAGGAAGAGCCCCAAGAGCTGATATTAGTGAGAAGGGAAGGGAACTGATATTTAGTTATGTACTAAACAGAAGGAAGCTGCGAGTACTCAGGTTGGAAATGTCTCCTGACTGCCGAGCAGGAAAACTGAAAGAACAGAATCATCTCAATATTCCATACCAAGGTGTATCGTCAAGGCATTCTAGGACATCCAAGAGAGAATACGCTGTAAAATTGTAAAACCTTATAACTAACTATACTACCAGTTTTTTGTAACTATAAAAGGACTACAACAAAGAGTAGTATATAAAGTTTTTAAGTACCAGCTCTGACACAGTAAAAGTTAACCTGTAGAAAATTGACTATAAGGTAAATGATTCTCATCCATAGCAATGCAAATGAATTTTGTACAGTTGCGGTATAATTAAATTCTGTCTTACAGTAAAGATAATCCTAAACGGTATATTTTGTTGACCTATAAAATATAAACCAGTTTTGCACCTATTAGCAGTTCATTCAACATTCCTGATTACCTCCATACATGACTCTTCCAAATTCTCCTTTGAACTGTTTTTCACATCTTACTGGTTCCCTTGTTAATTAATGGTTAAGTAAAAGCTTAAGAATGTTCATACTCTGTTTGCATGAGAATCATGATTTAACCTCTTTAAATATTATTCATTTGTCTATAAGAATTTGAATTCATTATATATGATATGTAAGTGTAAAAGGAGCTCCTGTATGTAAAAAGAAAAAAGAAAAATGTAATTAAATCGAGCAAAGTTTTTAAACAGAGAAGTGACCTCATTAGTAATAAGAGAAAGTAAAATGAAAATGATAGTTTGTCATTTTTCACTCACAGCAGGTTTCCACTGGCCTGAAATTGTGGTCATTGCTGGGGAGAGGGGCCTGGGCCTGGGAGGGTCTGACCCAAGGTAGATTTATAGATGAGGTCTGAGTGCCCGGCAATGATCCTCTGGCTGCTAGGTGGTGGGGACAAGGGACTGTAAGGCCATCGGCGGTGGCCCGGGTGAGGCAGGACAGGGCCTTGGGTCTAAGTGGTAGCAGAGATGATGCACTGAGAAGCCCAGGTGACTTGGGCATCTGGCTGGGGTCCGGAAGTAAACCCCTGGGGGCTGACATCTGCCTCCAGCCTAAGTCCTGAAGAAGTTTGGTCTTCTCATTCCAAAGAGTGAGGCAGAGGTCCGAAGTCATGGGGGCAGCCCCTGGTTCAGAAGTTTCTGGTGCCCTGGCCGAGCTCCAGGAAGCCCAGATGGGGTGGGCTGGGACATTGGGGGGCATCTGAGATCCCAGGAGGGTGCAGGTTTCCTCTGCCATGGAGATTAGTGGGCCCTCAGGAAGCTGGAGGCAGGAAGGCCTGGCTTCAAGTGGAGGCTCCCTGCCGGGACAGAGTTCATTCGTTTCTCTCCTCCTTAAGCTCCCAGTGCGTCCTCGCAGGGCAGCTGGCAGTGCAGACACAGAGGCGAGTGGAGAGTGGAGGGGCTGGGGCGGGGCTGAAGGCCAGGAAGGAGAATGCCCGGTGCCATCTTTGCAATCTGGGAGGGGCTGAGGTCAACTGGGAGGGTGGCCAGCCGAGGGGGCACTCAGCCAGGGTGGGGGCCGACCCAAGGACCAGACCCTCCCAGAGGGGAGTGTGCTGGCTGCACCGCGTTGTGAGATGGGGCTGGTCACCGACCCTGGTGACAGCCGCTGAGGTGGGGGGCGGGGACGCCCCCGTGAGGCAGCTGAGGAGGGTGTAGGGGGATGTGCGGGGGTGGGGGGTAGTGGACAGGAGGAGAGGCGGCAGTGCCTGCCGGTGGGTGTCGTCACGGGCGATGGGGGAGAGGCTAGAGGGCACTGGTGCTGGAGGGGAGGGAGACAGGTTGGTTGCCAAGGAGGCGGAGGAAGGGCCGGGGCCTGGAGGAGCGGGTGGGGACGCGGAGGGGAGGGCGTGGACTCACGCGGACGGGTTTGGGGGCAGGAAGGTGACGGAATGCCTGGGAGCGGGGGGCGGGGCGGCGACTTGCCCCAGCGCTGGGGACCGCCTTCTGCCCCCGCCCCGCCAGCACCTGGGATGCGGATTTATCTGTGCGACAATCTGATGAGCTGTGGCAGCGCCGTGGGAGGGTGGCTGGAGGGACATCTAAGTTCAGAAACGTGCAAGTTCCAGCACAGAGCTTGGCTGAGCAGAGGCGCGGGCCGCGCGCCCGGGGCTGCAGGTCCCGCCAGCGCGGGGGTGCCGGGAACACAGACTGAGAAATGCCCCCGAGGAGGGCGGGCGGGCGGCAGGGCTGACTCAAGCTGACTCAGCAGGGCTGCCGCGGGGGAGACGAGGGGTCCCTGAGGGGTTCACCGGCACCGGGCAGCCCCCCAGCTCTGCCCCCGAGTGTCCTTTCCTGGGACCGAGGGAAGGGCGGCCCCTTTGTCCTCCCAGGGCTCAAACACATTCTGCTGCTTCCGTGGCCCCCGAGCTCTGGCTTCGCCCCTCGTGGGGCCTTCATGGGGTAAAGCCTGTTCCAGCCGCCCTGTGATGCCCTTCACTCGTTCCCATCTCCTACACCCTCCCTCTTTCCCTCCCTCCTCCCGCCCCTTCCCCCGCTTCTTCTCCCGCCTCGGCATGACCCCGGAGGGCCTGCTGTGCCTGAGGCCCTGGGACGGGCATGAAGCAGAGACGCGGCCCCTGCCCCAGGGCCCACGTAAGTTATGCTCTCTGCAGCCGCAGAGCCAGTAAAAGGCTGAGAATGCTGAATTGGGGCCCAGGGCCAGGGAAGGCTCCCCAGACCCGGGCTGAGAGGTAGGGGTGACTCAAGGGAAGGGCAGGGAGGGTGTCAGGTGGCAACGGTGGAGGCGAGTGGAATGCGTGGGCAAGGGATACAGGTTGTGTGGGCAGCCGGAGCTGGGTGAGAGTGGAGGTGACTGGGGTAGAGGCTGTTTGGAAAGGTTGCTCTGCCTGGGGAGTGGAGGTGGGGATCCTGTGGTCAGGTTCCCAGTGGGGCTGAGGGTGGAGAGGTGCAAGTGGAGGGGGGTGAGCGCCAGGCTGGCACCGTGGAAGCACAGCTTCACCCAGACCCGAGCAGGAGGCAGGCAGGAAGAAGGCAGCTGCAGGAAGCTGAGTTTGAGGGGCACCTGGACAGGCCGGGGACTCCCAGGCAGCACCCTTCCCCCACTGTGGGGCTCTCTCCAGGTCACACAGTGCCCCGCCCTAGCTGCAGAGACCAGGTGGCCCAAGATTATGGCCTCCCCGGGCCTTCTAGCTCCAGAGCTCCTGCAGGGCTAGGCCTCTGCCCTGCCGGCGTCCTTCCCCTCCCAGCCACAGTGGTGATCCCAGGCTTCCCTAACTGACGTCCTGCCCCAGAGCCTGCCCGGTGGCCCCCTGGGAGCCCACACTGCCATACAGACTGACCAGAGCACACCTTCCTTCCTTACTGTGGCAGGCCGAAGGCTGGGGCAGGCGGGTGGTCCAGCCCCCTGTGGGCGGAGGGCAGGCAGGGGCTGCCAAGAACTCCACCAGCCCCAGTGGAGGCACAGATGAAGGGCAGGGGGCTTCTGGAGGCCTGAGAGCTGCTGTTGGGCAGACCCCTTGCTCTGAGCCCCTCCCCATCTCCTCAAACCCACTCCAAGTTGCTCTGGCTTGGGCATTCACCCACCAGCCTCATCCTGCTTCCCACATGGGCCCGTGTTTCGTCACTTATTCGGGGTGCCCCTGAAAAGGATGAGGGACCCCCAGTGTGTTGCTGCTGAGGTCCTGGTCTCTTGGCACCTCACCCAGGGATGGAGGGGCAATCCTTTCCTTTACCTAAAGGGCTTCTGCTATCTCCAGTCTCCTGAGATGCTTGGCAGGGGAACTGTGTGCCCAGGGGTGGGTGTGTGGGGGCAGAGCCCCCAGCCCTCCATACTCCCCCTTCCCTGCTCCCAGTCACAGTTCATTCCCCAGGGGCCCAAGGGATGGGCTGCGGGGCCTGGCAGCGCAGCCCGCTGGCCTTGTCTGTACCCACATTCTGCCAGGCAGGCCCCTGTTGGCTGCCCAAGTGCCTAAACAGCACAGCCTTTGTCCCGGGTGGTCACAGGAACAGCTTTCTCGGTGCCCAGCTTGTTTTTCCCAGGCCAGGCTGGGCAGGCTGAAGCACGGACACCATGGAAACAACGCAGACCACCTGTCCTGCCCCAGCTCTTTGCTGCCCAGTTGCTTTCTTAGTCTCTGCAGACCTCCTGGTGTGCTGGCCTTGTCCCAGCTGGGCCCAGGCAGAACACACTCTGCGCCTCCGCCTCACCCACCCTGGGACCTCAGCTGGGCTGGTGCAGAGAGCCGAGGGGTGTCCAGCGCTGTGGGGGCCCCTCACCTGCTCCCAGTGCTCACAAGATGCAGGCTCTGAGGACCATGGTCCTAGGGGCTCCTTCCTTCCTCCAGCCACTCACTCTTGGGGCCCAAGAAAGAGGCCAACTCAGGAAAAGGATCTCTGATCAGAGCTGCCTGGATATGAAATAGGCTTTCTTGAAAGGTGGTGAGCTTCCCATCATGTGAGGCATGCAAGGAAAGACTCTTGGGCTGCTATGGGGGAACCCCTGTTGTGTGAGGAAAATTGAATGAAAGAACCCAGGAAGAGTACTTTCATTAATTTACTTATTAACCCATTCATTCATTCAGCAAACCCCAGTGACGTCTATCCTCTGGACTAGCCCCAGAGCCAGGTGCTGAGCATGTGGTGGTGAGATTACAGTCATGGTCCCTGCCTCCATGGGAGGCCGAGTCATGGGGGAGGAGGATCTGAGGTGAGACACACATTTGAGTGATTAACTGACCCCAGTCAGGCTGATTAGGAGCCTAGAGGGACCACAGAGATTATGAGAGCAGCGCCCTCTTCTGTGGGTGGGAAGCTGAGGCACAGGGGGACAGACGTGCCACACAGAACCTGGATAACTCCCAGCGCTTTGGGATCCATGGTTATACAGTTATGCAAGCTGCAAAGGCCCATGGGAGTTTTGTGGGAGGGACACCCTTCCAGGCCTGGGCAAGGAGTCAGGGCCAGCCAGCCCTGTGAATGAGGTCGTGGTGAGGAGACTGGATGCTACTCATTCGTTCGGTGCCCCTTCCCTAAGTGCTGGTTACACATCAGCTGGGCTACGGAAAGCCAAGAGCATTGGGGGAGATTGTTCCTGGGACTCAGTTCAGGTTAGGACAGTCCTGCTGCATGCGGCCACATGACTGGCTTTAAGGGCCAAGACATTCTGAGCTTCTACCTGCTCTAGTTGGCTAGTGTCATAACAACCACCCCCGACCCCAAATGGCAACATAAAACTACAGCAATTTTATTCAACTCATGAATTCCGTGGTTCAGGTATTCTGAGAGGGCACCGGGGCACAGCTCTTCTCTGCCCTGTGATGTCTGGTGCCTCACCTGGAAGAACTCAGATGCAGAGCTGGAAGCCCAGAGGCTGGTGGGGCGGCTTCTTCGTTCACGTGTGTGGTGCTTGGCTGGGATGACGGGAAGGCTCGACTGTCCACCAGCACACCGCCCTGGGGCCTCCCTGTGTGGCCTGGGCTTCCTCACAGCATGGAGGGCTCAGGATGGTTGAACTTCCTTCTTACATGGCGACTCTATTCCAGGGTAGAAGCCGTGTGGCCTTTGGTGATGGCCTCGGAAGTCACCCAGCAGCACTGCCACCACACTCCGGTGGTTGAAGTAGTTCCAGACCTGCCCCCACCTCTCAATGGGAGAAGTACCAAGGAATCTGCAGCCACATTTAAAACTGCTGCACTGCCGCCTAATCCTAGCCTTCAATTTCCTCCTCTCCTCGTTGAAAATTCTACCATCTGCCAAGACTGCACTTAAACCCCAAACCAGAAAACCCTTCTGCTAACTCCTAGGCCCAGCAGCACTTTCTGCTCACATGTGTGCCCTTGGTTGGATCTTTTTAATCAAGAATGAGGACAGCTGTGAGGGGATCGGCCTCCCCGTGGAGCCATGCCCGTATTCACACCTGTGTGCTCTTTTGTGATTCTCAGAGCAACTTCAAAGGAGGGGGCATCTCACTGGGAGTTTTGCAGGAGGAATAGGAGTTCTCCAGACAGAGTTTGAAAAAAGGCATGGTGAGCTTGGACACAGGTGCAGTCAAGTCAGGTGTAGCTGGAGGACAGTTTCACTTACATGCGGCAAAGGGTTTGTCAGCGGGGAAGTCGCTGAATAGACCTCGGGCCCCGCAGTGTGAAGACTGGCAGTTGGCCCAGGGGGAGGTGGCACAGGTCTTGCCCACAGCTCCCCCAACCCCCCTTGCCAAGAGCCTGTCTGTCTGCGCCTCCTATTCTTTCTTTACATGGTTTCAAGAGTCCTTTCAACTATCCTCTGGGGTGGGGGTGGGCTTTGCTGGCCCCATTTATGCACAAGAAAGCTGAGGCTCTGGGAGGTTCTCTGGAATCTGAGTGGGGCAGGAGGGCTGGGACTGGGGGTGAACACTCCCCTCATCTGCCCCACACCCTCCCTCATCCCTCAGGACCTGCCTCAGCAGGGCAGAAAGCCCCTCCTCTCTCCCGGGCACCTTGGCTGTCCCCACAGCTCCCCACCCCTCGGCCCGACCACATGG